AGGCACCATCTAGTTCTTCTGGTCTCAGGCTGATGGAGTCTCTGGTTTATGTGGCCCTTTCTGTCTCTTGGGCTAATACTTTCCTTGTGTCTTTTGTGTTCTTCATTCTCCTTTACTCCAGGTGGTTGGGACCAATTGACGCATCTTAGATAGCTGCTTGCAAGCTTGTAAGACCCCAGATGCCACTCTCCAAAGTAGGATGCAGAACATTTTCTTAATAAGCTTTGTTATGCTAATTGACCTAGATGTCCCCTGAAAGCATGGTCTCCAGACCCCTACCCTGCTACTCTGTCCCTCAAAGTGTTTGATTGAATTCAGGAAACTTCTTAGCTTTGGTTTAGTCCAGTTGTGCTGACTTCCCCTGTAGTGTGTGCTGTCCTTCCCATCACCTAAGATAATTCTTAGCTACTACCTAGTTAGTAAATAACCCTCACCTTCCCTCCCCACCCTTGTAACCATAAAAGAATGTTTTCTTCTGTGTTTAAACCTTTTCTTGAGTTCTTATAATAGTGGCCTTATACAGTATTTGTACCTCTGTGAATGACTTAATTCACTCAGCATAATGAGTTCCAGCTTCCTCCATGCTATGTTTCATGGCTTCATCATTGTTCTTTATCGTTGCATAGTATTCCCTTGTGGGGATATACCATAATTTGTTTATCCATTCGTCCGTTGATGGGCATCTAGGCTGTTTTCATCCTTTTGCTATTGTGAACAGTGCTGCAATGAACATGGGTGTGCATGTATCTATTCGTGTGATGTCTCTTATTTCTCTAGAATATATTCCAAGGAGCAGGATAGCTGGGTCGTAGGGTACTTTTATTTCTAGCATTTTAAGGAAGTGTTAAATCAATTTCCAAAGTGGTTGTACCATTTTATATTCCCACCAACAGTGTGTAAGTGTGCCAGTCTCTCCACAACCTCTCCAACATTTATTATTTTGTGTTTTTTGGATTAATGCTAGCCTTGTTGGGGTGAGATGATATCTCATTATAGTTTTGATCTGCATTTCTCTAATGGCTAATGACTGTGAGCATGAAGGCACATTTCTACATGTAGCTCCCAAGTGGTGTCTATGCTGCTTGTCCACAGACCACTCTAGAAGATCCCTGGAAGTCTAGCTGGCTGGTGGTGGTAGTGGGGAGGTAAGGAAGGGGAGCAGTGCAGCCGTCAAGAGAACCCTTATGTGGTTTTCCTGCCCCTAACCTGCGGACTCTTTCTTCAGTAACCTCTGGACTTTAATGTCTGTCATGTCTTGAACTGATCATTTGGGTCACAATCCCCTCCTTGGATAGTCCTCTGATAAATCTCTGGTTTCATCCCTGCTCCTTGGCCTCTATCTGTGGAGACCAGGATCCCTCAGCTTTCCTGCCCATGCCCTCAGGGAAAAGAACTCTGCCCAGTGTCCAAGGATGGTCAGAGATGGCACTTTGACCTAGTGGCCCACACTTCCCTCCTCCCTCTGAGATAGCAGCCCAGCTCCTCTCACTGCCATGTCCCCTGCCCTCCCTTACTACCATCACCCCTCCCCACCCCCAGTTCTTCATGGAAAGGAGCAAAGGGTGGTGATGAAGAGAGGAGACGCTGACCCAGTTCCACATCCGGCCCCATTTTAGGGAGGTTTCACCCAAGAATAAGAGGTTCTGGATCCCAGCGATGGAGACCTGCCCTGCTCTTAACCAGTGGGCCCTTCTCAGAGCGAAGCCTCAGCCACATTGTTTATCTGAGGCCTTTACTAAATATCACTCCCCCGATTATGGCTACAACCTTCCTTGGAAGACCCTCACACATCCCTCAGTGGGCTCATCATGGCTCTTGCTGATGGCAAGACAAAACACAAGAACCCACTGATCTCCCCTGACCCTAGGGGGCACAGTGAGAGTTAGACTTCACACCCTTGGCCCTGGTGAGCACTGTGGGTCTGGCTTCTTTCCTCCTGCACTCTGAACTTCCCACAGGATGCTGTGTTTCCATGTCCTCTCTCAGCACCACTGCCAGACATCCCAGCTGCCCTCCTTACCTGCGGGGGCCATTCGGTTTGGATCCTAATCCAAATTTCCACCAAACCACCCCACCTACAGGCTGAGGAGCAGCCCACTAAAAATAACATTGCCGTTTCCATGTGCTACCAAAAGGGAGATAACCACAATTCTCTATGACCAGTAAACCATCATGAGAAACGCTGACAACTAGAAGCTGGAATGTGAAACAGCAAGTTGAACTGCTGAAGTGAAGACACAAACAAGAAGACTGGAAAACATTCAACACAAATGCTAATAAGAGCAAGTTCTTCTGTGCCAGCATTTGCCCTTTGAACACACAAACACAAACTGGTCTGTGAGCTAAGCATCAAAGTGGGGATTCTGCAACGGACCTCATAATTGGCACTCACTCTTTTCCTCAACACCCAGACTCTTTCAGTTTCTTGACAACAGAATGAGGACTTGGGGAGAAAAGGAACATTAACAATTAAATTGTCCTTTTATAAATGATGAAACTGAGGCTCAGAGAAGTAATAAATCACAGTCTGTGGTGAATATACTGACTGGGTAACCTCTACTCTAATGTCATAGGGCTGCAGTTTAACAGAAAAGGAACAGTTTATTTTTTTTGCTTAAGTCTTATACAAAAGGTGTGTCCCGTGCTTTACTTGGAAAAGTTCCGTTAAAAAGTGGTTTTTAATCTTTTATGGGTCCTGGGCATCTCTGACAATTTACTGAGAGCTGTGAATTCACTCCTCGGAAAGCAAGGGCACAAACCTAATTTTGCATATAATTTAAAAACTTGCAGCCTCTAGCAGTCCCTGAGCCACAGCTAAATAAAATTTGTTTTAAAATGTTAGCTGTGCACAATGCAATATGGCTCAAATTAGCTTCACAGCCACAGCCCCCAAACCTGAACACATTCTACAAGAGGAAACTATATACATAACAAGTGAAAAAATGATTACATTGCTGTTTTTCAGTATTTCAATCAAAACATGAAAATACCATCTGTCAGCATGCATGGGTAGGTTAAAATAAAAAGAGTTTATCAACCCAGTACCATAGTATAGCCAGATGATATCAACATACAGGGTTCCAAACTTTTCTAACAAATGGGCCCCTGCACTAAAAATACCCCAGACACACTGCAAGAATCACCAGCTTCTCCCTATGTGCATCAGAAACTTTTCACAGCCATTGCCACATTCAATTACCAGAAGGCACAGAAACCATTTACACTATTTATTGTCATTTAAACATTTGCAATTTACTATGGTATCTCTTCCCACCTAAAGGAAAGAGTGCAATGCTAATACATTGCAGCATTAGTTACTGAGTTTCTAATAATACAATCTGCATTACAAGGAAACCTGTTACCTTCAAGTCAATTCTGACTCGTAACAACCCCATATGACACGGTAGAACTGCCCCATAGAGTTTCCAAGGCTATAATCTTTGTGGCAGCAGACTGCCACATCTTTCTCCCGTGGAGCGGCTTGTGGGTTCAAACCGCTGACCTTTCAGTTAGCAGCCGAGGGCGTTAATAACCACTTCACCATGTAAGAGAGCAGAACTGCCTCATAGAGTTTCCAAGGCTGTTAATCTTTGCGAAAGCTGGTGGGTTAAAGACTATCCAAAAACTTGCCTGCTATTTTAAGGGTCCATAAGTTCTTCTTTTAATTCAGAAGGCCCTCAATTTCTGTTAAAGAACGGAATCCATGTCCAGCAGGCGTTCCTTCCTGGTGACCTCTGTGTGCTCCACAGGCCTGCCCCTGTCTCTTTCACACCAGCGTTCCGCAAGTGGGGCAGCAAAGACCATATAGTAACAAGAGCTGGCTCCGCCACAAATAGCAACAGGCCTGCCACGAGTTAAAAGCCCAAATATAGACCTGCCGCGGCTGCCTTTCCACTTCTCGACCGACGCTCAAGTGTCACCAGAGAAGGTCACATGCTGTGCCCTGAGTTCCTGCATTTATTGTGGGCAACTGGCTGGGGGCAGTCACAGCAAGGCCAGGAGGGCTACTGCAGGTGAAAGCCCTTCCACCCGTGCTTGTTCCCCGTGGGCATTCTGCAGGTCTTTTTCCAAAGTCTCTTAAACAAAAGCAACTTTCTTTCCCCTCCCACCATTCCTTTAAAGTTTACTCATGGTGGGCAATCCTCCCCTCTCCACATGAAAACCCAGCAGACCCCAGGACTTTCTGGTCCCTCTTAGGCAACACCCAGTCCTAGGGTCACATTAAGTCACAGTCTCCATTCAGTAATTGGATGTTCAGTCCAATATATTCATCAAAAAGCCACATTTGGTTTAGCGGGCATCAAAATCTTCTTACCTTCTCAGCTTGGGCCTCGTTAGCTGGGAGCCTGCCCTGGGAAAGGGAAGCGAGGCTGGGCTCTTTCCCTCCACCTCCTCCCTGAGCTGCTGGTGTGGATGCCAGGGCAGGAGGGCAAGGGGATGAGACGGCTCCTCATTGAGCTGATTCTGCCTTGGGCACCGGCTTCAGGCTCTGTGTGCCTGGTGAATGTGCAAAGCTGACTCTCACGTGCAACTTCTGTAGTTCTCTGGAGATTCTCCTCGTGGAGACCTCTCTCCTGAAGTTCCCATGATCAGGCCAGGAGACCCTCCATTCCAGGAAGTCCCTTGCATTCCTCCCTCAGGCTCTGGTGGGCCACCTCCAGGATCTCTTCAATGAGGTCTCCTCATCCCTGCAGATGGCCCTGCTAGGTGGGGTCTAGGTGACCCCTGGCTGGTGCTCTCTTCCTGCATGGCCTACATCTGGACAGCGGAAAACAGGCCCCATTTTTGTCCTGGCAAACCCTGGGATGCAGATGAGTCCAATGTACTCACTTCTGGCTCTGCCACTAAAGCAGCCAGTCCTCTCACCCCAGGCCACCGTTGGCACAGCTGCAGGAAATACAGCAAGCTCTCTGAAGGGTCCCCTTGAAGATCCCCTAACTGGGCTCAGAGTTAGAGGTTGGCACCTTTAACCAAGCACCCCCAGCTTGACAACAGGTCTTTCCAGAGAAATCAATCCACCAGGCTCCCTCCCAAACATCCCCTCTTTTTCTCCATTCTGACTCCTTTTTATTTTCTTCAATCAGCTCAGAGGTCCAAGAAGCATGAATCAGGTTGTGGACCGTTTTCTTTGAAAGTCTTCATACAATGATTCAGTCTTGGAATTTTGCATCTATTGCTTTCTGGGGTCTCAACCAAAATTTAATTTTAAAAATACTATTACTGCAAAGTATCCTTAACATTATATATATATATACACATATATATATAAAATTAAGATAAAATACCAAAGCAAAAAAAAAAATTTGAAAGAGTTATGCAAAGATGTATGTATAAGAATGTTCATTATAGCATTGTTATATTGGCAGAAAACTGGAATTGATCTATGTCTATCAATAGGGAGTCAGTTAAATAAACCATGATACAGCCATACAGCCTAATACCAAACCAAAAAAAAACAAAAAAACCAAATTCGTTGCCATCGACTCGATTTCAACTCATAGTGACCCTATAGGACAGAGTAGAACTGCACCACGGGGTTTGCAAGGAGCAGCTGGTGAATTCAAATGGCCAGTCTTTGGGTTAGCAGCCGAGCTCTTAACCACTGTGCCACCAGGGCTCCAGCCTAGTATTGGCAAGAATCAAAAAGAACAATGTAGATGACTATTTTTTTAATGTGGAAAATGCCTACAATATATTTTTAATGTGGAAAAAGAGTATGCAAAATATCATTACAGTATAATCGTATGGTATAATACAGTGTATATTGTGTTGGTGAAGAATATTGAATATACCACAAACTGCCAAAAGAACGAACAAATCTGTCTTAGAAGAAGTACAACCAGAATGCTGCTTAGAAGCAAGGATGGCGAGACTACGTCTCACATACTTTGGCCATGGTATCAGCAGGGACCAGTCCCTGGAAAGGGACATCATGCTTGGTAAAGTAGAGGGTCAGTGAAAAAGAGGAAGACTCTCAATAAGATGGATTGATACAGTAGCTGCAACAATGGGCTCAAGCATAACAATGATTATGAGGATGGCGCAGGACCGGGCAGTGTTTCATTCTGTTATACACAGGGTCACTATGAGTTGGAACCGACTCCACAGTACCTAACAACAACAACATTTTTATGCTGATCATATGTAACTTTTAATTATTTTAAAAAAATCTTTAATTTTTATTGTAAAAGCAATATATGCTCTTTGGCTTTTAAAAAAGAATAAATACTACCAAAGGACATAAACTATAAAATATAAATCAGTTATAAATCCTGGTAACAGCCACTATTAGTCTTGGTGTATATTTTTCCAGATGTTTTTCTAAAAGTATATAAACTTATTCCCCTCTCATACCCACAAAATAGAAATTACTTTCTATTTAATAATTAGAAAAATAAATTAGAAATTAGAAAGACCTGCTAGTTTCATTTTGAAAAAAAAAAAAAAACTAATTAGAAAAGCTACTCAAAGGATAAAATAGTATAAAACAAATACAGTAAAAAGACATATGGTGAAGAAAAAGATACTAAAAAAAGAATATTAAAGAATTATATGTAAATCATATTTAGTTAAAAGACTATATTTAAAAATGGTTTGGGGAAAAATTAATCACTTCAGCTAAAAGGATGTCTCTCCCAGAGGCGCATGGCAGCGAGAGCTGCAGTTCTGAGTTCATGGCTCACAGCTCCACCAAAACCAAAATCAAAACCAAACACGCTGCCATGGACTCGATTCCGTCTCATGGCGATCCCATGTGTTACAGAGTAGAACTAAGCTCCATAGGGTTTTCTTGGCTGTAGTCTTTATGGAAGCAGACTGCCAGGCCTTTCTTCCGTGGTGCCACTGGTGAGTTTGAACCTTCAACCTTTCGGTTAGCAACTGATCACAAACTGCTTGTGCCAACCAGGGACCTTTACAGCCCCACACACAGGATTAAAGGGGAGAGACCTTCAGAAGAGGCACTTTAGACCAGACCTTTAAGACCTCCACAGAGGTTCATCTTGTAGTCATCTTCCGGGCCTTGGGGTCGTCTTCAGGGCAGAGAGAGACACAAACCATAACTTCAGCGTAACCCTGGTTTTGATTTATTCGTTTGTGTTTTTGTCTTCCTTTTCTTCTTCTTGTTCTTTTTTTAACCTGATTCTAAGCCTTCCCAGCTCAAAGCCTGCAAAATATCTTCCACTTATTCCTGAATCGGTGTCCCCGAGTGGTGCAAACACTTAACAAACATGCTTGGCTGCTAACCAAAAGGCCGGTTGGAGGCTTGAGTCCACCCAGAGGCATCTCAGAGGGCTCGGAGATGTACTGTCTAACCAGTGCCTGGCACTTAGAGGCCTTCAATAAATAATTACTGAGTTTAACGTTTGCTCTCTCCAGCAAGCTGGTAACGTCCTCGAAGGCAGGAATCTTATATTCAGTAGGGCCCCGATGACAGAACAAGGAATCGGCTGGGTCCCTGCTCTCCAGGAGTTCACAGTTCAGTGTAGACGGGTAAGACAATAACTCGTCCATTTAACAAGTATTTTTCCAAAATCAGTACATGTGTACAAAGTGGAAAAGATGAGGCAAGAGTGGTAATTCCCTGGCTCCAGACAAAGTTGCAGGATTGATTAGGGGGCAGGGTCGAAGACATCCTTTGACCTTTTCATTGGTTGTCGCGGACCCTGCCTCCTAAGACCTCACCAATTTGCGACGCCTGCTGGGAGCCTCGCAGCCTGCAGACAGCCAATCAAAAGCGCCGATGGAGGGAGTGTCGAGACGCTGACGCGAATTACCGCCCAGCGAAAAATGTCGCAGTTCCGACTGCCCAGTGGCGGGGGTTGCAAGGCGTCCGGCGGCTGAGTGCCGGCAGCTATGGAGGACGAACAACCTGACAGCCTGGAGGGCTGGGTGCCGGTCCGCGAGGACCTCTTCGCCGATCACGGGCGGCACCAGCTGCGCTTCCTCGTGGCCTGGAACGCTGAGGAGGGCAAGTTCGCCGTGACTTGTCACGACCGGACGGCGCAGCGGCGGCGGCGGCGCGAGGGGAGCCCGCCGGGCTCCGAACCAGGACCTGAGCGGGAGGCCGCCGCGCCCCTGCCCAGCTGGGCAGGCCTGCTCTCTGCAGCCGGGCTC